TAGGAGGAATAGATCTTTTAGTACCATGTTACATAGATAAGAGTATAGGTATAAACCCCCATATACTTTTAGGAATGAGTTTTCTAAATGGATTAAAAGATTATAGTATAAAAAGAGAATGATTATATATTGTTCATAATGGACAAACTACATTATGTAAAAAGAATTAGATGAATAATCAGATAAATTTTTCATTAGCTGTGTATATTCAAATTACTATTGTAGAAACAAATATGACAATTTGTGCTTTAATAGACACAAAAAGTGATATAACAATATTTAAAAGTTTTTAAATAAAATCATGGAACAATAATAGTAATATAAAAATAATTGAAGTTACATGAGAAAGTACTCAAATGATTTATAGTGTTGATAAAGTTAATATAATTTTTGGAAGTAAACAAGTTACAATAAATGAAGTATATAAATATGATAAATTAGAATGTGATATATTATTAGGAAATGATTTTATTCAACAATTTCAATATTATAAATAAAATAATTATATGATAATGTTACAAACTCCTTGTGGACACTTAGTAAAAAATCCTAGAGAATTTAAACCTCATAGAGTTCAGCCAGTACATCGTGGTGATAAATGAGAGAAAAAATCAATTATATATAATGAAATAAAAAATAAAAGAATATTGTAAAAAAAAAGTTCTAAAAATAGGAATAGAAATGAATATAGAAAAAATAATTGAACAACTAGAAAATGTTTATGGAAAAAATTCATTATTATTTTGGAAACCACATCACCCAAAAGGTAAAATAGAATTAACAGAAAATGTTATAATAAGAGCCAGATCAATGATGTATGCTATAGAAAATACACAAGAATTTAAAAATCAGATAAAAAAATTGTTAGAACAAAAACTTATTAGACCTAATAATGGGCCTCATAGTAGTCCAGCCTTTATGGTTATGGAAAATTCTGAACAAACGAGAGGAAAAACTAGGATGATCATAAATTATAAAGAATTAAACAAATATATTAAATTTGATGGTTACTTTCTACCAAATAAAGAAGTGTTAATAAATCTTGAAAGAGAAAAACAATATTATTCTAAATTTGATTATAAATTAGGATTTTGGCAAATAAAAATGGAAGAAGATAGCATACAATATACAATATTTAGCACACCTCAAGGAAAATATGAATGGTTAGTTATACCATTTGGTTTAAAAAATGCACTACAAATAAATCAAAAAAAGATGGATAATATATTTAGAAAGTTTAATGAATTTTTAATTGTTTATATATATGATATATTAATATATTCTAATAGTAAAGAAGAACATAGAAATCATTTAATCAAATTTATTAGCGAATATAAAAAAGAAGAAATTGTACTATTTAAAAAGAAATCTATAATAGAAAAACAAGAGATAAACTTTCTTGGATTATCAATAGATAAAAGAGGGATAAAATTACAGACTCATATATCCAAAAAGATAGAAATTTTTTCAGATAAATTAGATACCAAAGAATAAATACAAAATTTTTTAAGATATTTAAATTATACAGAATGATTTATTGAAAATCATTTTAAGAAAAGACATAAAATCTAAGTTTTACTTAGAAAAATAAATACTAAAAGATCGAATGAAGAATATACAGAAATAGTTAAATCATTAAAAGGAGAATACAAAAATTTATCAAGATTAAGATTATCAGATGAAAAGGATAATTTAATTATTAATATTGATACCTCAGATAAATATTGGGCAGCAATATTAAAAACAGATCTAAATGAAATTTGTAGATATTCAAGTGGAACTTTTAATCAAACAGAAATAAATTATACTACTCATGAGAAAGAATTACTAGCAATTATTAGAGGAATAAAGAAGTTCTTATTATTTTTATTATCTAAGAAATTTATTGTAGAGACTGATAATTCTCAAGTTGTAGGATTAGTCAGGAATAAACTACCATCAAAACCCTAATATAGAAGGCTCCATGGATGACAAACTTATTTAACATTTTATAATTTTGATATAGTCCATATTAAAGGAGTTAATAATTTTCTTGCAAATTTTCTCAACAAAAACATAGAATTTGCTGATAGATAAAGTCAAAGTCACAAAATTATACCAATCTATCATACATATACAAAAAAAGACATATTTTCTTAAAAAAGAATTCGAAGATATAAACTCTGGAGCAACCCAGATTTCAAAGATATTCAACTCAAATATAAAAATATTGTTGAATATACTACTGAGCATCATAAATATGTCATAGAACTCAAAAATAAAGTCGATGCTATTGCAGCACAACTAAAAGATATACTGTCTGAGACAGATATACCGAAGAGCTCAGAAATGAGTTTTCCAAACCAATACCAAATAGGGACAGTTGGAAGTAGTAGTGGACCCAAACGTGACAACATACCAACTGATAATAAAAGAGATTCCATTTCTGTATCATCAACCAAAAAATTATGATACATGGAGATAAAAGAGATATCAAAACAATCAGCATCATAGACCAAGACGATAAAATTTCTTTAGATTCAAAAGAAAAAAAATGTCGAAATAGTTAAAATTGCTTATGAAATAAAAATGAGTGATTCATATTTCATCTCTTCGGGAAATAATGTTTATCCTAGAATAACAGTCATGGAAGGAGGAGACCCTTCATTTATAAAAATTATGGCAGACTATGGATTCATGGATTTGAAATATCCAGGAAAAGATTTGATTGAAATTTCGAAATTTGATGACATATTCATAAAAGAAGCATTTAGATTTGCAAAAGGATGGAAAATATATTTGAAATTCTATTTAATATGTCCAGAATATGATGGAATTGTTTACTATCCAATTGAATACATAATCTCAATTGGATATGTTGCAACCAATTTCCAAATAGATGTTACAGAAAATAATAGAAAAGTTCCAACAGTGACAAAATCATGGATCAGACATAGGAGTAGGGCTGGACAAATCTCCCGAACCGAACCCGAACCGAATCAAACCGAATCCGACGGTTCTTGTCAAATTAAATACCCGAACGGGTATCTGAATTGAGAACCGACGGGTACGGTTCGGTTCTCGGTTCTAGACCAAGAACCAAAGAACCGAATCTTTCTAATTTTTTTATATTGAGTAAATCAAATTATTTTAATTTTAATTTTTCTAAACAAATTAACGATTTCTAAATCCAAATTTTTGGTCCAATAATTGTTTCATTTCTAATTTTTTAATTTTTGGCCCAATTACCCATTTTATTGTTTCATTTTTTAGCCAAGCAAGATCAAATCCACTAAATAACCCTAAACACTAACACTAAAGTGCATAACGTTGTCTCGACTCTCACACTCACTCTCGTAGCCTCGCTAATATTCCAAAACCTATACAATCATCGACCGACACTGTGACCTTCGATCGAAGCTTTGACCTTCGCCAACCGAAGCTTTGATCGTTGGGATCATTTGAACAATGTAGTTTACTAGTCTCTAACATTCCAAAATCATTGAATGTATCATTAGTTGTATTTATATAATGTTGTTATAAATGTTAAAAAATTTAATTATAGTACAGAACCGAATGGAATCGAACGGTTCCGTAATTATATTTGGACCCGACGGTTCCATTTACTAGATACCCGATAAGTTCGGTTCGGTTCGGTTCTCTTTAGAACCGAACCGAACCAACCCGCGCCCACCCCTACATAGGAGAGCACTTGGAATTAAAGTCATCTACAACATTGCCAAAAATTTGTTTGATAAAAAATACTCATGCTCATGTTAATATGAAAATTGGATACTGGTATCCAATGGGGGATATGGAAAATCAAAAATTTTAAAAGACTATATTACAAAATTCGATATACATCAATTTCCAGGGTCTCCTACCACTATAAAAGAATCTTGCCAGTTAAGGGAGTGCCTCAACTGCATGTGAAGAAATAAAGAAAGAGGACAATAATATAGCACATTTGACAAAGGTGTATGGAGGACAATAATACAGCAGCATGTGAAGACATTGAAGAAAAAGAGCAATAATAGAAAAAGATGCTCTTTGGATAAAAAGTTGAAGCAGCATGTGAAGATGTAAGTCCAAGGAGAAAAATAATAGAAAGACAAGTGTGCCTTTACTGATGTACTCAATGATGTAATACAATTTTATAGACTTGTATAAATAGAGTTATTGTGATAGATAGAAGACATTTCATCTTATCTTGAAATCTCGAGTTTTAAACAATAGTTACTCTAAAAATCATTCACAGTTTGAAAAATCAGTTTTTTTGAAAATCCCTTTGTATCAAATAGAAGTCATGTATAAATTCTGATAGAAATAAAACTCCAATATTTTGATATGAATATGAGTTTCTAAATCTTTATTCCTATAGATTCTTGAAGTATCTGAGAAAAAGCTTCCTTCTTATTTTAGTAAAAAGAAACTTTTTCTTTAACAGAAGTTTAAAATTTTCTTCTTTAGAAGTTGATACAGTGAGAGCAAGTAGCTGAAATAATAACAATTTCATGAAGGCACGAGGCCGTTGCAGGAAGCAGTTTACAGATTCAGAGTTCGAAGGTCACTCGATTTTAAGAATAAAAGTCCAGATCAAACCTAAGGTAAAACTATTAAACTTTTGCTAAAATTAGAATAAATCTTTTCAAAATCTTAAAGAATTGTAGGGATTAATTGATGATTATTTGTATGAACAAATGTCATGATATACAATTGAAGGATTAAATAATCTATTAGAAAGAATGTTAGAAAAAATAAAGAATATTATTTATCAATTAGAAAATATAAATTTACCATTTGAAGAATATAACATTTTAATTAGAAAATATGAAATATATGTTGCAGATTATTCTTATTTATTAGATCATAGAATGAATTTATATTCAAATATACAAAGTAAAAGATAAAATATTTAAAAGATTATGATATATCTTTCAATACAAAAAGAATCATTTCATTAAAGATAATATAGACCTTTCAATAAAAAAAAAGAATAATGTTAGGCCAAATTGAAAAATCTCACTGTACCGGTCTCTCTCGCAGTTTCACTCTACAACTAAAGAAAGAAGAAAAACAATTTTCAGGAAAAACAAAAGAAATCGAAATCCTAGATTTTGGAAAATGGCAATGGCAGGGCGATTAAGATCGGGTCTTCCATTCCTCCGCCGAGTCCTTGTCTCCGACACTATCTCTGCCGTCACTGCCCAAAGATCCGCCGCACCGAAGCCCCTCCTCCGGCCTCTCATCAACACTGAGGTAATAACAGTATTATAAAAAAAAAAATTGTAAAATTACAAATCAATGAATATCCAGTAGGAAAGATGTATGATTTTTATTTGCAATTTTTAGAACTTCTCGTTTTTACTTGATCTCTTGAGTTATTTAACATTTGGGGAAAATCTGATTAAAGTGTTTAAATGAAGAATCATAGTTAATGAAATATGATTGTTCATAAAACTAAATTTTTAGTTTGCTGTTTGTCCAACGCGTCAAGTTGATCGAGCTGACCTCTAATTTTGTACATGAAAAGAAGGCTGTTTTGACAAAAAAAACTTAAGAGATGCTATTCCTCATCTTGCCTACCAAAACGGGCCGTTTGGAAAGTTTTCTCTTTCATTTTCTCTGACTACTTTCGTCCTTGGCAAATTCCCTTTTGATTTTGATTTGTGTTTTAGCATCATTGTTCACACTATCTCTACAGCCGTGTTCTCTTTCCTTTCCATCAAACCACTAATTCATTTTCAGCGCTAATAAGCATAAAATGAAGGAGTCTGAAGGTTGTCTCAGTGAGCAGGGCAGTTGTCGAGTTAACCGTATGTTCTCCATGAAAGGGAATTAGTAATCTTGTACTAAATAAAATTTTCGATGAATGGGATTATTTTGATGATTTTATTTTTAGTTAAATCCTGTGATACACCAGTATATGTAGGCTAGCATTAACACAATTTTTTTTATATTGTTGTAGTTATCGAGGGACTTTGGCACTGCCTTTGCTTCAACAGAGCAAAAATTTAAGGTAATTATATTCTTTGATTATTAAAACATTAAGGTAATCTTTTGTAGATCCATACATGAATTTAGTAGAACCAAAGATGTTAAAATGGACGTGTAACCATACTAGAATGGATAATTAAGAGCGAGGATATATTCAACAAGTGATGGTGTTAGCAGTTGAGGATAAATCAACAATGATGACTTTTACTGTCAAGATATCTCTTGCATATACCTAAACTATGCCACATTACATAAGCAACATGTTCTCAAAAGAAAGTGATTAGTCCAAAACAAATATGGAGGCCTGATGTGGTTGCAATTAATTTTATAGACCTTTAAGTAGATGTAGTGGTGGGAAAGTCTTGAAAAAGGAATATATTTATGGCCGACTAGAAGTTTATTAGGAATAAGACTTGGCCTGTTATTATTTAAAATTATTTAAAATATTTATGGACTTATTATTTCAAGAAATGAATATATTTTGACATTTAACATGAAAAACATGGAGATTAGTGTGAAGGTACTTCTGCTGCTGTATTACTTTTACCACTGGAATCAACTGTATTTATTTTGCTTATCATATATGAAATAATTGAGTAAATGGATTTCGTAGAAGATATATATTATCTTACTCATTTTTGAGGACATTATTATATTAATTTTTTTGATTCAGTATTATCTATAATGTTGTTCATGTCACTAAAAACGATAACTTCTCCACAGTATATTATGAAATGCATTTGGTCCAATTTGGTTAATGAGCATTTTATGGTATGAGCTTACTGTTTAACTGTCAATATTTTGCTTTTCACTCATGCTTCTTCAGTGGCAATTTTGTTTGATATCTTTATAGCCTTTTTTTTTTCATGAATGCTCAACTGACCTTGAAGTTGTGTGCATCTTGTCTTGGCATCTAATATTTATTCAGAATTCAGAATTTCAATTGCTGAAGCAACAATACAATTTTGAAAATGATTCCTCTCTTCCAGTTGGCATATTTAGTGGCAACTTCTAAATGAACTTTGTTTCCTCATCATACCCGCCAGTTCTTGTTTAGCATTTTGCTTTCTGTTTCTCTCTTGATAATACGTCATTACGTTCTCTCATTCTTAAATTCTGCTATATGATTATTGCACTTGAATCTTCATTGACTTATATGGTTACATGCGGTATCACTGTTTCACTGCCCAAAGGCTTCCTTTTATCATTGGTGAAGACTGAAGAGAGACCTGTGAAAACTAGTAAAATACTCACATTGATGTTTAGTTATTTTTTACATCTTTTAGGAAATGTTGGTAACATACAGGCCCTCAATTCACCTTTTTGCTTTCATATCATACATGTTATAATAAACTTTATTATTCTAATCTTGTCTTTATTTCCGACATAGTAGATGTTAACGTCTTGATATTCTGTAGGTTCCCCTAACAATGTTTGGTGTGTCTGGAAACTATGCTTCGGCTTTGTACATTGCAGCAGTTAAAGCTAATGTGTTGAACAAGGTTGAATCCGAGCTTCTTGGCCTCATCGAGTCCTCAAAGAAAAGTCCTACATTTTCTCAGTTCATGAAGGATTTATCAATAACTGCTGATGTCAGAGTGAAGGCCGTAGATGAAATTAGTACTCAAGCTAAATTTTCTGATATCACGAAGAACTTCTTGGGTACAAGAATAGCTTACTTTTACCTATGAATGTGTATTATCAAATTGGAAAATGAATGATATCATGATTCATCTTTGATTTACAAGATGTCTATTGTCATGGGTTGGTAGTTTTAAGAGCGTGTGCACCTTTCATCGCGAGACAGGATGTCTTTGGTTTTTCGTACTCGTAACAGGTTGAACTTTCAAATAGGTGCAGGTATCTGGAAAACTTGGTAATTTCGTAAGAGTTACATCACACTGCATGCATTTTTCTAAAAACCTCTTATCACTTATCCACTCTCATATATAGAATGCTTTAATACGTTCTTGAGAACTAGAGTCTCAAATTTTAATGTGCAAATTCTTAGGACTCGACTGGTTCCTCCAGACAACATGCCATATCCTATTACTATCTTGCTTAGCAGTGATTTGTAAAGGATGTCAGTGCTTTTGTTTTCATCACATTTTGAATTGAACAGCATTGGCTTTCGTCTTGGTTGTCTCATACACAGATTTTAGGTATTTGAGTTCTTGTTGAAATTAAATGTGAATGGATTTTGGTTTATGTTGTTTCAATTGCCATAAAGTGCGAAAGTAATATTTGCATCCAGCAAGTGTTTTATGCTTATGGTTGTAAACTTCAGGGCCCCGTGGGATTAGTCGAGGTGCGTATAAGAGGGCGTGGACACCCACGGTCATTAAAAAAAAAAAAAATGTTTTTTATGCTTATGGCATTTTGTTTTTCGGAGCATGAAGATATACAGGATTGAAAATCTCATATTTATGTTCTGCCGAAAAATTGGAAGTACTTGAAGCATTTTGTTTAATGGTCACTGGAAATCTAATTGAAAAGAGATTAATCCTATTTTTCTGTTTCCTCTGACCTTTGTGAACATATATTCTTTTCATCTTTCTAGGAAAAAAAATCTAAATACTTGTAACTGAGTTTCTATGGCTGTGCTCGGCGAACAAGATTATATATGCTTCTTTATGATGCTGACAGTTACCCAAAAATTATGTGGTGTTAGTGAATGACAGCTCTGGTTTCATCTAGCAAATTATCATGTGATTAATTATTATTACACTTTGTATCAAGAGAATTTACCCATTTCTTGCATGTTTGCTTGCACGAATGGTTTCATTTTTGGTTGTTGGTATTTTAATACTTAATAAACTGCTGTCTTTGTTGTGTTATTCAACATTGGCATTCATGATCGATCCTCTCTTATTTGTACCAGCTGTTGTTGCTGAATCTGGAAGGCTGTCACATTTAGAGCGTATAGCGCAGAGATTTACTGAGCTGACCATGGCACACAAGGGAGAAGTTAAAGTCATTGTAACATCCGTGATTGTAAGTTCGTCTACTTGGATTGTGAATTCTTTTGAGAAACTGCTGAAATGAATTATTACACGAACTTTAACTTTCTGGGCATAGTTCACTTTCTCTTGTGCTCTCGTCATAATTTATTATTTGATAGAGATGACATAATCTAATCTTGTTATATTAAATGTTATCTAGGATTTTCTTGTATCATCGTGTTGTTTCCTTTAGGTTAACCTGTGCCATTATGAACATTTCTACTTTTGGGCATGGAAAGTGGCTTTACTGTCGTTCTTGCTAATGTATGGGCTTATGTGGTCTTGGTGTAATAAAACAAGGTTTGCTAAGCATCATCTGAAGTGGGTGAAATAGCTGAGGACAATATGCATCTTATCTGTCTATTAATTTGCGTTTCACATTCACTTTACCCTTTGGTGGAAAATGTTCCTACATGAAAACTAAGAGAAATTTATAGACCTTCAAAAATTCTGAAATTGGCAGGAAAAGCATGAACATACTGGGTACCCCCTCTCCTTATTGCTCAGGGAACAATATGTGATACCACATTTGGGGATATAATATTTGTTCAACTTTTGGACAAACTGATATAAACATACAATCACAACTAATGTTCATGTTCATATTAATTGAGTTCAGATAATTTTTAACTGTTTAAGTAATCCATGTCGATCCTTTGTATTTGGTACTAGTCTACTAGATGGAGCACTCGTCCAAATGTCGGATTTCATATCATTCTTTTTACTAAATTGCCCTCTACTTGCATTTTTACCTTTTTTACAATCTGTCACTCGTCTCTGCAGCCTCTACCTCAAGAAGAGGAGAAAGAACTAGAAGAAACATTGCAGGTTATGATTGGTCAGGGGAAGAAGGTTAAGGTTGAAGAGAAGGTACTTTCTATTGTTTAACGGATATAATCCTTTTTCTCCTTGAGATGTGAGTGGAAATATTCTTATTTTTCCTCTGCGCCTGCAGATTGATCCCAGTATTCTTGGTGGGCTTGTGGTGGAATTCGGACAAAAAGTTTTCGACATGTCCATAAAGACTAGGGCACGCCAGATGGAGCGATTCCTGCAGGAACCTGTCAACTTGGACAGCTAAATGGTTACTCGTGGCCCCCTTTTTCTTGTTATTTCTGATCAAATTGTCGTAAATGGACAAAATCAAGCATGTTTATTTGGATAAATAACAAAGGGCTGCTTGGTTTCCCCGGTTTCTTTTTCACAATATTTTTTAGCTGCATTCAAATAAAAGCTACCTGTTTTTCTTTTTCATTTTTGCTTGTCAAACCCGGACGAGGTCAGGCATCATTGCACAGCGATTACATTGGTTGCTCTGTATTATGAAATTGTATGTTTTTCTACATTTTCTAACTCAAGCTTGTGGTTATTTTTCCCAAAGCTTTATTACCTTGTCTTATGTCTCTGTGTTTAATTCTCAATTCCAAACTCTTAAATTTTGCTGACTTGACGTAATAAAAATGCCATTTGGTGGTTCCATCTAAGATTTAATTCCATTTTTTTTTCCTCAGTGATCATTACTGTAATAGTTTGAAACTTGGATGATTATTACCATAAAAAAAAATGACTTCAGTAATCATTGGCATAATCATTCGAAACTTCAGTGGCCTGTGACATCATTAACCCAAATGTAGGAGAGTTTTTGGAGTTTCTCTTTTGTAATGCACCCAATACTGAATAATGCAGCAAAAAAGATATGAAGTAATTGTTTTTCCCAATATTCTTAAGTGCTGTATTGTTCACTTCATGAAACAAGACACAAATGGTTTCTAAGATAAGAGAGAAGAATCGTGAGAAATATGCTAATTTCTACAGTCAAACGCTTAGCGTTTTGAGGTCTCCATCTCTGCAAATCCTGATACATTCAAGCGGTTTAAATGATCGTAGAACTTTGATTTTCGTTATAATTAAAATCAAATATGTATAGAGGTATAACAGATTGACTCTATAAAATTATGTCGATATTTTCACATGTATTTGTAGGAAAGAGACATCTTTCTTGGGTCGATATTGCGACACTTTAACATGAATATCGTAGGAGAGATCGTTTTTGGGTCAATTTTGTTAACTTGAGTGCATCTCAAATTACAATTCGAAGCACTTTTTGACCAAGATTTGGCAGTTCTAGACTAGTGGGTCCATCTAAGCCACGCGTACACATTTGGCCATGAGTACAACAATAATTTTGGAATGTTTTTGTACTTGTTTAGAGACTATCAATTTGTTATATGCAAGAATTCTCTCATCTGGTTTATAGGGTGTTTTACACCGTACGCATTGCACTGGAAGAGATAGACACAGACTATGAATATCTGTGGACAGATAATTTGCTTGAAAATGTGGTTAACTTAAAGACATCCACGAAATTAATGTCATTTTCTCACTTACATGGCAAATATATGTCTGGATCGACAGAGATGTATCTTGCCACGCGACATCTTGTTATTGGGGACAAGTGTAAACAATACATACATATACACAGAGAAAGAGAGAGAGAGAGAGAGAGAGAGAGAGAGAGAGCTTTGTGGGTTGGTAATGGTGATAATTGTTGTTTAAATTATTAGAAAAGGTTGAACCCTAACTTTGAGGGCTCCCACCGCTCCGTCCTTGGAACATCATGAGGGAGGTAAGTCACGGGATGTGCCCTTACAGGTCAAGGAACAAGAACTTGCTCGTACACTGGTGTCCACAAAGAGTCCAATTTCATATCTCAGGAATCGAACCCTCACATTGCGGCTGCCAGTAAGGTTGAGATTACCTCATGCTTGTCCTTTGCACCACTGGGTTATGTCCCATGGGGCATTTTTGTTGTTTAGATTATTAGTTGTACAATACGAGGCACAAGCTATACGAATCCCTTCTCAATAAATTTGGAGTTCATTATATAAATTCTTTTTCTTGTCACAATAAAGGTTTTGATCAAACCATCGTTCTTCTTACTATTTTGAAATTATTGCGTTACTCTTACAAATAAAAGTTGTTTTGAATCTGCGTACTATATGTTGTAACCATCTGTACCAACCTTCCCTTAATTTATCTTTGCTAGTTCATTGAAATTAGAACTTATCCTTTTGAAAAACCGATTGGATAGGGACCTTCAAGTGGGAGGGAGAAAGGGGCAGTTGGCCGTCTTGCGTTTGACTCAATCTTGTCCCTTTTTGATTCACTTTTCTTCACTCACAAGCTAATCATATGTGTACGAGAAATGAACATATTTTGCTTCCACTTCACATAATCCCTATAACCCTTTCTTTTTCTCATCATGTTCATCTATATATGTTTGAACAAGAAATTAAAGTTAAAGTACTCCGTTAGAATTCTGTGCAAAACCCCAGAAATAATGAGGAAGCCTGAAGACAAAGGGAATTACAAGAACAAGGGCAAAGTTAGGAAGGGTTTATGGTCACCGGAAGAAGATGAGAAGCTGAAGAATTACATGTTAAGAAATGGACAAGGGTGTTGGAGTGACATAGCTAGAAATGCAGGCTTACAGAGATGTGGTAAAAGTTGTCGTCTTCGCTGGATTAATTATTTGAGACCTGACCTTAAGCGCAGCGCAATTTCCCCACAAGAAGAAGAACTAATCCTTCATTTGCATTCCATTCTTGGCAATAGGTACTCTCTCTCTCTCTCTCTCTCTCTCTCTCTCTCTCTCTCTCTCTCTCTCT